GAATTGTCATAAGTTAAATTAACACATAGATAAACCATGTAACGCAAGCGATTAGTGTGAAATGCAAATGAACAATAGATATTAGACACCACATAGATAATCATAGACTGCGACTAACTATATAAGACTACAAATTATGCAATCAGTGTGAGGCTGAGATATCGTACAAGAGTTACAAGGTCTAATAGGTAAAATACTCCTCTGTCCCAATTTCTGAGTGAAGGGACTCACTCATAACAGGATGGCCGAATGTAAAGTAGGCGGTCTTGTATAGACGCGCATTGGCGCGCCTATCGAATGACGTAACGAAGTATGACGTATGCATAAAAGGGACGAGTGCGGGTAGCGCGGGAGAGCGGGGTTCTTGTGTGGAAGGACAAGGAACGGGCAGAACTAGATAGACGGTGAAACTGTAAGGACGTGAGAGTTACTGTTTTCGAGTATAGATTATCCACTGCGTGGACGACAGAGTCGATACTGTAATAATACAAGGCGTCTGAACAAGATCATTGTACTTCTGGCGTGATAAAGATAGTAAGAAAAGACACCCGAGTTAGTCAATTATCCTGACCTTTACATATCAGAAGTGGGATAACCTCGTGTGCTGTACATCGGCGCCGCTATGGGAAGCGATCGAGACGAGGGAAAGCGGCGAAGAAAGCGAAAATCGGAAAAGAAAAGGCAGCGTTCGAAGGATAAGAAGAGGTATAGCAAGGGCCGCTCGCTCGAACGAGATCGACGCAGCAGCTGTCGTGACGACGGGACAAAGAGGGACGTCAGAGGGGAGCCTCCTGAAGGACGTCGACATCGACGAGATCATCGTAAGCGGCATGATTATCGCGAAGACGACGGTAGCAGCCGCAGTCGTAGCAGCAGTTCCGAAAGGTACGGAAGCAGAAGCCGTGGACGAGACCGTCGAGGAGAGCGGGGGAGGGTGAGAGACAAAGCCCTTCCGCTGAGCGGGCAAAACATGGCGGACGACAGCACCCGATTTTTTTTCACCGAGCTAGTGAATAAGTTAACCAATAATAGGTCGGAGGGAAATAGATTCCCTATGATAGGTAACGTAATACCCGAATTCGATCCGATGAATAAAAATCAAACGATTAATAACTGGTTAAGTAAAGTAGAGGAATGCGCTAAGATGTACAAATGGGGTGATGATCAGATTATACATTACGCCATGCCGAAACTTACCGGGATAGCCAAGTCGTGGTATCAAGCCTTGCCGACGATGACTTACTCGTGGGCAGAATGGAAAATTAAATTAACGGAATCGTTCCCTAGTAAAGATGATTATGCTGAATTGTTGACCGAAATGCTAGCGCGGAGGGCTCGGTTTGGAGAAAGCTTAGAACTTTATTTCTATGACAAAATAAACTTATTAAACCGTTTGGAAATAAAAGGAAAACGCGCGGTAGATTGCTTGCTGCATGGATTAGACGACCGGTCAGTGCGTCTGGGCGCAAAAGCCACAAAGTGTACGGAACCTGAACAAATTTTAACGTACTTTCAATCGGCTGGGCTACCACCGAGAGGTTTGGGCAGGGCGAAAAATAGCTTAGACAAGGGAGCAAATTTCGCGGCGGTCAAAGACGGTGTTAGTAATACAAACAACGAACCAAAGACAGCTGGATCGTCGTCCCTGACACCGGTTACGTGTTACAATTGTGGTGAGCAGGGGCATTACAGTTTTAAATGTACAAAAAAAACAAGGAGATGCACAGCATGCAATAAGTTAGGTCATTTAGTCACGG